AGGGGGGTCATGACCACCTCCCCCCAATAATCATGTTTCCCCTGTCATGGGTGGAGACTTCCACCCCCCCCCCTCCCCAATGTTCCAGCCAAAGTTACGCCCTTGCCCAGATATATAAAATTTCCTTACACTGTGGTTGAACAGGCAAATATTAAAGTGCAATTTGCAGCGATGTCCAGTTTTCCCAACGTAGACGAAGCTATCGACTGCGCGCACATTGCTATTAAGTCACCTTCAGAGAACGAATTTGCTTATGTAAACAGAAAGCACTTTCCCTCTAGTAATGTACTCTATTAATGCATTGGGGGCACCTCTTGTACTATTGTCTGTAAGAATAAACAAACAGAATAAATGAAAGTAACATCGCATCTGCGCCCTACGTGTTATTCATAAACATGCAAGTAATTCAAAGAAGTATGGTACGAGAAAAACTCACCCGCGATGACATCGGCGTCCCCCTCCCCCGCTAAAAGTGTGTCCCCAATCATCGCAGCAACTAGTTGCTCAAAGGGTGTGAGACCGGGAATTCCGCAACCTCCGCCTGTGCTGTTAAGACTCTTACGGTGAGCGGCCGCTCGTTTTTTCACGTCCATTTTTTTACGCCACTTCTTTTTAATTTCGGCCACCGTGCGAAGTTTGGAACCAACACTTTTAAGTGACTCCGCCACGCTGTGCCACTCCGTCAACTTTCGTTTATTGCTGATGCCACTTAAACCACCAAATAATATCACTTTTCTTTTCTCGATTTCTGTTAACATGACCTCCACTTCGCACTCGCTGAAATACTTATTTTTCCCTCGTGGTTTGTCCATTGTTGTTTAAGAAAAACATAGAACAAAGCGGGCATTTATACAGATTTACATATGCATTTAAATATACATAAATATGGGCGGGTCGGGGGAGTGGCTGTGGGCTCGTTCACGTACGTAAAATTTCATGCTCATTGGGATTTATAAAGGGAATGTGCGTAGATCTGTGTTTTATGCATCTGGATTTTTTCTTGCTTACGCACATTCCTAGTTTTGTCCGTACGCCATGTTTTAGTGTGAATTCTACGCACGTTGTTATACATGAGACCCCAGGGCACACTCTGTAAGCATTTTGCAATATTCTGCGATGTCTTATTGCGTCATTCTGTACTGCGAAGGTACAGAATCATGTTTCTATTTCCAGCTTTTGGACAGTGGAAAAATGACTGAATGTGCTCACTGTGCTTTATTCTTCATTTAGCTCTGACTGTGTCTGTTTTAAATGTATGTGTTATTAAATGTATGTGTTTTAAATGGCTGTTATTATTGTATGCTGTTTTTCCCTTGCGCTGACTGTGTTTATTTCTATGTTCTCTGGCTGTGTTTGTTCTGTGTTTCTCTCTATGTTCTGACTCTCTCTCTGTGCTGAATGTGTTTTTGTCTGTGCACTGACTGTGTTTTTCTCTGTGCTCACTGTGTTATCTCTTGTCCCCTGACTGTCTTCCTCTCTGTTCTCTGACTTTCCTTTTACACTGACTATGCTGTATTTTTCTTTGTGTGCCGTCTCTGTTTTTCTCTGTGTATTGACTGTGTTTCTCGCTGTGCTGGCAGCTCTACCCTGCAGCCTCTCCAGCACTCGCCAGTCTCCAAGCCCACCTTGACCAAAGGTTCTACGGTGAGGAGCGGCCCCAGAAGCGGAGTCACCTGGTGGCGCTGTTGAGTCAGATTCGCTCCCTCCTGTATACCTCAGAGATCCTGATGCAGTCCAAGAGGTGAGGATGGGGCTCACAGGCTCAAGCCATTATCAGAAGCGCACATAGAAGCGCACAGAGCTTCACCCCCCTGCAGGGGGCGCCCTCTCAACTTGACCAGATAAACCAGGCCCCGGTTCAGCCTCCTGATCCCAGGACAGCATTCCTTACTGCATCCGTCCTCCATGCCTCTCCAGTCCTTTGATCCTCGACAACATGCCCCGGTTTCTGACCGCGCATCTTTGGTGCTGGTGCATTTGGACATTCCCAGTCTGGGGGGGGGGGGGGTGTAGTTTCCTCACATATGGACTGACACAGCTTATCAGTTTATAATAGAGCACATCTGCGGTTTGGACACTTTAGGTAAACTTGATGAAAACACAGCGTAGCCTGTGCCTCTCACAGTCGTCTGCGTAGGGAGCAAACCCACAAACGAGCCATTGTCACGCCGCTGCCGAAGCTTTTGTTGTTTTCTTTTTCTCTCCTTTGCTGCCCCGAGGGAAGACTCATCACTTTCGCTTGTTTGCTTGTTGCTTGTTTGGAATGTTCCAGACAGAAAGGCCGCTAATGCCATGTTCCCCCAACCAGGAGCGGTGTCCCTGAGGGACCAATGGATTTGACCAATCCTTCCCAGAATTCCCAGCCCCAGAAAGGTGAACCGAGCTTAATTGGTGGAAAAAGATTGAAGATACTAGATGAGGAGCAGGAAATCGCAATTTCTGTGGCATTTTGTAACTGTTAGTTACCAAGTAGCTGTACTGTTACACTCTGTGATGCCATCTAAGGCCATATCAGACTAAATCAGCACCAAGTATCTCTGTCCTTTAACAATGTTCTGCAGCATTTCCTGTCACCCAGAGCAGATTGGGTGCGTCCAAAATCGCATAGGCACACAGTAGGTACTTCGTGTTGGCAGGAGCCTGCTACTCAACCTTTAATGCAGTACATAGTGTATAGGTGGATGAAGGCAGTGTGCATGCACTGAGGCACACCACAGTCACCATCTTGCATACTACCTGACCCCCATGAAAACACTTAAAATCAGTAAAACAAATATATATTTATTTTCTGCTGAAATCTATGCAAAGATGGCACTTCCTCCTCCATCTTGGCGTAAATTTCTGAGCGAGTGATAATCTTCGTATCTGGTTGTAGCTCCAGTTGCCTTGTGGGATAGGGTAGCGTCCATCAGTTGCACACTTGGGAATTTCATAGAGATTGTATATGGCTCATGTAGCATAGTATATTTAGCGTATTACATAGCAAACAATGCATCCTTTGTGTTGAATGGGGTTTGTTTGTATTTCAAAGCCAATTCCAATGAATGTCCTCTTTCCAGATTATCTGCACCGTCCTGACTGCAGACATGGTGAGTGTTGCCACCCAAGACTTTCTGTTAAATGTGTGTTTACTGGTTAAATGTCTGTCTTCTGTACATTACAGCACAGCACAGTCTCCTTTTTCCAAGGACAATTAATTAAAGTCTCTTTCAGTCGCCCCTTTTATCAAGGCAGTGGGGCTGCTCCACAGTAGTGTTACCAGAATGCCATCCTGGGGGGGGGGCATTTGGATATGCTGGGTGGACAGCAATATACGAATGGCTGGAGAAAAAGGGGTTTTTGATGGTAAAAATTGATGACGAGTGGATGCTGGGGGAATTTTTTAAATCACTAATGATTGGTTAAATTTGATTGGTCTCTGTTGGGTGGGAAGTTGATGCTTTGGGTCCCATAGCCCCGCTCCTGGCTGTCCCTTTATGGGGGCCAGTGAGAGTCCCCCGTGCTGCTGAGGTGTAAAGGGGGGGGGGTGATCTCCCGGGCCCCGAAGGAGGTGTGTCCCACAAGGAGTTAGGTTCTCCAAGGTGGCAGCCGCGGGTTTTATGGCCCGTAGGCGTTTAAACCATTTTACAAACACAGTCATCCCTCTCCTGCACTCAGATGCCGGGAAGTGCATGGACCCCCGTCTGAGGCAACTGTACACGGACCCCCCCCTCGTGCTGACACCCCCTTTCAGCCCGGAAGTCAAGGAGTACTGGGCCGAGGTCCCGTTCGATGTGGTGACACTAAAGATCCGTGCGGAGCCCGAGAGCTGCCGCTGCCGGGTGCGCCTGGACGAGCGCAGGGGGCCCAGGTAATATCAACACTCCCCTCAGAGTGTCGGCACCCCCCCCTTTACTGCACCCCCATATCACTGACGTATCGTTCTAAACACTGTTTGAAGATAATGATTCTATCCACTGAATCCGGACACACTGACATCACACGTTGACATATGTGTTTGATATCTATGATCTGTGCAGAGATGTTAACTGGACGCTGTTTCCGGAGCTTCCATAAATGATATTACGCAGTTTTTTTAATTAATAAGCTGAGGTCAGGGCCTGCATCTCCCTGACGGGACACATTCTTATTGTTCCCATATGTATCCATCCATCCATCCATCACCCACCCATAGCTACTTTGCCAGCACAAGGCTGTGAGCCTCCTATGAAGCACATGGCATCCCGGGCAGGATGTGTCCTGTTGGACAGGATGTGTCCTGTTGCGCAGGATGTGTCCTGTTGCGCAGGATGTGTCCTGTTGGACAGGATGTGTCCTGTTGCGCAGGATGTGTCCTGTTGGGCAGGATGTGTCCTGTTGGACAGGATGTGTCCTGTTGCGCAGGATGTGTCCTGTTGGGCAGGATGTGTCCTGTTG